ACATGCTGACTCCATTATTACAAAAAGTCTGGAAGGAGGGAAAGGCGCCTACTGACTAGAGGAAAGGTTACCTCGTGAAACTACCAAAGAAGGGAGGTTTACGCCTCACTCTGCAAGAACTGGCGAGGAATCATGCTCCTACCGACGCCAAGTAAAGCCCGGAGTCGCATCATCCTGGAGAGATTAAACGACGCACTGGAGACAGAACTCCGACCAGAACAAGCTGGATTCAGTAAAGGCAAATCATGTACTGACCAAATTGCAACTCTACGCACCATCATCACAGAACAAAGCATGGAATGGCAATCAAACCTCTACCTCAACTTCATAGACTTTGAGAAGGCCTTTGACAGCGTTGACCGCGAAGTAATTTGGAAACTACTCAAGTACTACGGTGTACCCGAAATATTCATCAACCTTGTTCAACAGCTGTACGACAACGGCACATGTCAAGTGACCCACAACGGAAAACTCAGCGAGGCGTTTGGAGTAAACACACAAGAGTCAGACAAGGGTGCTTATTATTACCGATTAATGATATTCCTAATTGTTCTGGACTGGATTATGCCTCAGACAGTGGGTGGGAAACTAGCAGACAGGGATATCCTGGACAGACAGACGTGAAGAATCTAGAAGACCTGGATTTTGCGCAAGGATGATTTATGTTTGATGTCACACAAAATCGAAGACTTACAAGCGAAAATCGAACGACAAACTGGTCGAAGAAGCAGCCGGCGAAGACAGGACTCCAGATGAACATACACAAGACGGAGGTTATGAAAATAACCAACGAACAACAACCGCAGCAACATCCACCGTCAATCACCATCAACGGGAGGGATTTGAAAGAGGTGACTTAATTCACTTATCTAGCATTGAGCATTGTCTCAACTACAGGAGGAGCGGACGAGGATGTCAAATCGAGCGAGAATCGGGAAGGCGAGAAACACATTCATCAACCTGAAATCAATCTGGAAATCTTCGTCACTCAGCATCAACAACAAAATTCAGTCGGATTTTCCATGCAAACGTCAAGTCAGTCAGTTCTTCTATACGGATCAGAAACTTGGGGTGCGGGTCACAAAGAGTATTTCCAACAGCCTGTTGCAGACCTTTATAACAACTGTCTTCGCTCTATACTGAAGATCAGATGGCCGGAAAGAATCACCAATAAGGAACTATGGGAACAAACAATGCAAGAACCAATCGCCCAACAAATATGCAGGATAAATTGGAGATGGATTGATTACTGGCTGAGGAGGCCGCCACTGGGTGACATCGCGCGCGCGTCAGGCCATTGCTCGAGTGGAACCCGAAAGGGAAGCGACGTGTGGGACGTCGGTGCAAGGGTGACATGGAGGAGATCGTGTGAAGAGGAGTTGAAAGAGTATGGACTAACATGGATGCAGTCGAAAATACAGCAGAAGACAGAAGCAAATGGAGACGTGCAGTTGAAGCCCTATGTTCCACTAGGAACTCAAGGGAGCAATAATAAAATAATAATAATTTTGTTGAAGTGTCGTACGTGAAAATATTGACACTGTCTTAGAAACCCGTAAACACCATGAGGCTTTTCAAAAATTGATTTATACTGACTGGAAACAGACGTTGCCTAGTCAGACAAACAAAAGATAGTTGACGGTCTTAAATGCCGTAAAGCAGGGAAAGCAACAGAATCAGTTGGAATCTCCTCCCTTTCTGCAACCAAAAAATACAGAAAATGACCCCAGAGACGACGATTAACATAATGATGTCATAACTGAAGTAATGCCGAAGAGAAAGGCCACCTTTTCACCTTACTAAAGCCCATGCAAGACCTTACAAAAAGAACTCGGAAGATCTAATCTCAACGGATTATTTACGACAACTCTCTCAAACAGTCGAAGATTCGCAAACACAAACAAGCAGGTATTCGAAACAGGCAGTAAAGCCAGGAATTCAAGTGAGCACAGAGAGGAGGGTGCGTCGGTGGCACAGCGGTTAGAACGCTCGCCGACCATGCACATGGTCCGGGGTTCGGTCCCCGGCCGACGCACTGCTTCGCCTCACTAAGCCAGTAATAAGACTGGTAATGAGGGAAGGTTGGGCATGAGGTTAGCAACCCCATCCTATAAAAATTAATCAACACAGCTACAGAAACTTCAAGCAACTAGTTTGAAGCCCAATGTTCCATTGGGAACGTGCGGGAATAAAAAAAAACAGAGAGGAGGTGGATGGTGAATGGATACAGACAACAACCAGAAACACCAGTCACTGTCTATGAGGGGAACCTCCACTCACCAGAAGAGCATAGTTTTAAATGGCGAGCAGCACAAATGGGGATTTCACAGACAGTCAGGACTGGAAAGGCAGAACATGCCTTGGCATGGAGATCCACTATACTAAGCACAAGGGATATACCAGAATTTTCAACATGGATGTGAAGTCAGTGAATCTTCATGGCCCAGATACTAGATACATCACCGAAAACACTTCCAACAACTCACTGCAGATCCAATCTTTAGTTGCTTTTACAGAGTAATAAAAGATTAGATGACTAGAAAGAATGAGCGCCAAGAGAGCCAGCCAGGAATCTGTCACACGACAATGTCCAGAAGGAAATGAATATGGATCAGACGTCAGTGTGATGAATTATCCTAATTTATTTCTATGTGTATATATCTCACATGAGGGAATTTTCTCATTTAAAATGTGGACAATTCTTTTAGTTTACCTGACAACACCGACGATAAGTTCAATAAATTAGCAATAACTAGACAAAATAAAGTGAGTAGAACTCAGAAGATTGGAAGATCTAAATTTAGTGCGTAAGAAGTCCAAGGAAAAAGATGATGATGAAATGCATTAAATCAGATTCGAAGGATCAGAGAATAAGTTTAAGCATTGGAACCCGACAAAAAGAGATGCTAAAGAGGAAGTTTCCAGCGGAACTGAAGTCCAGCCACGAATTGATTTCTAACACAAATCAGGTTTCAGCCGCCTTATTGAGATAATTGCATTCAGCCGAAGGAGACATGGGCTGTTTCATCGGCTTGTATTTTTGAATGCTCCCAATGCTCCTAGTTGGTGTTCTGTGCTTATCAGATATTCAGTGAATGACTGATTTAAATTTTTCATCTCCTGTCATCGTAGACAATTCAGTACAAATTCAAAGAATCTGTCATAGGCAGTTTTTTCTTTTCCGCTTCTTCAGCTAAACATGTTTTGATTTACGTATTTGAAGGTAACATGAGTTTTGACTGTGCCAATGAGTAAAATGTAGCAGTAGAGAAACTAGTCTTCCTGCAGGATATATTTTGGTCAAAGCAGTACTTAAACGTTCATCTGTCCTTCTCAAAATATCATCACCTTGAAGTCAGGCTGAATTTTGTGGTTCAAGTAATTGCACCTAATCTAGCTTATGCTTGTAAATCACAATTTTGCATCTGTTGAGAATAAAGTTGACAAAAAAGTAAAAACGAGACGCATGTGCTCAGTACTCCCAGTCTGTTATCAATGCTTATCTAACTGATATCGGTGAGTAGTCAAAGCTGAAGGATATCTCTACTTAACTTCTTCTTTGCTCTATAAATATTTTCAAATACTGAAACAATGCTGTGTATTCTCACTATGAATTGTGATAATTCGAAACTATAAACAATATGAATTCTGTCTGTGAATATCATTCCAACAAAATGATTCACGCTCTTGACCTCATCTATCTTGAATAAAACACGAAGATATGTTTAAGTTAATGTACAACCTACCTACCTTTCACTTTTAATCTTCGACACTTCAAAAAGTGTGTCACTGTAAAGAAAGTGGTTTCAAATTGTCCGTAAACAGATTAAATTCGTGTAATGACCAAGTGAATTTTCAACGTTGAACGTCGCGTAGAAGTGCAGTAGTTTAAATCACTACTACACTATATATAGGTCAAAAATATACAGAAAGAACTAGAGAAGAACTATGATGAACCAGCAGATACGGAAGGAAATCAAAGTCTATGGAGGTTAATGAGAATGTGATGGATTAAGCAGTTCACAGGAAATGAATGCATCTTCACCACTGACAACGACTTTGGATCATGTCAGTAATTGTGTGTTCAGTCATTGGCTAATATGCTTTGAATTGGTTACGAAGTAAACAGTTACTGTTGACATTCACTATAGAATCGCATTCTTATTTTTTTGAATCGACTGGCCTCTAATGGTGATAAGGTTTATTTAAAATATCTTTACAGGAAGACACCACCAGAAATTTATTTTCTAAACTCAAACTAACTCCCTCTGTCTCTTCAGATTCTTGATGTCTCACAATCTTGCTAACTCTTTCCAGTTGGTCTCTGAGTCAACGTAGCCTACAATGCTAACTGGTTGAGCAGAGTATGTGTATTAGAATGTGCCACAACCTAACATGCCATTATGTCAATTCGTTGTTCTTTGTATATTGGATGCAGAAACTTGCAGTGTTTATTTCCAACTTGCTCAATTGTAGTCCATCTGTAAACGTTTATTCAAATTGAAGTTTGCGCTGAAGTTGTTGTCTAAATGGCGACTAAAGGCAACGTATTTTAACTAACCAGCTGAGAGAACGCAATGACATCACGAACAGTTTCACTCAGTTTCACTGTTCCTTTCAGGAGTCTGACAACACTAAACCAAGTGCATAAATACATAAAAATCTGACGAGTTTCTTCGGCAAAGTCATCAAACTTGGCATTCAACTTGAATTATCCGCTAGACATTGTCTCATTGACTAATTTTTCTGAGAGTTATTGTCTCATCTAGCAGACTTTGGTTAAGAAAAGGACGACCAATGTTACTTCATCTAATCAGCACAAATAATTCAAGTAGGTGGAATATGGTTAGACAATAACTAACAGCTTTTGTTATTACAAATCTGATTTGATACGATGAGGTGTCTACTACTGAGTGTATTGCTGTCTGCTCTGGTCATCAGCATATATACATATATGCAAATGTGTACTTATTTTTTATCTGTCCAGAACAAACTACAACATGCGTTACTTCTTACTGTTCATCACAAGTTTTATTCTTCTTCATGTTCAACAATCCACACAAGACAGTGAGTTTCATTTTACGTTTCATTATCATTTATGCATTGAATGTACACTATCATCTAATTGAAATAATCTAAGATATTATACTGATCATTTTATAGATTGTTAAGTTATATTTACTAATATCACAGAGGTACTTCATTCAAAATAAGTCGCGTAGCGCATAACTAACAAAGCTCAGAAATTATTTTTGATTCAATCAGTTTTCGCTTTTCCCGCTGATCGATTGGACCGAGACGTTCTGTCTCTCTTGACATGTCGGTCCGCAATACATATACGGTTCAATAATGCTGCTTCAGGATTAAAATGACGGAATGCGCGTTTTCTCTGATTTCACACTCGTGAGGAATTTAGACTGAGTCCTAATTTTCTCACTGTATCCAGCACTCATCGTTTCAAATGCCAAAGCGTTAAACAAACATTAAAACTTATCCCGGCTGTACAAAGGGTAGCTTTCATAGCTCAAGTAGTTGTTTTGTTTATTTGATTTCAGGGATTAGTGAACAGTCCTGTAGTCCAGAAATAGCTTTATAACTCATAAGATTTCATATTTTAATTTTAGTTAGGTTGTAATTGTTGTTAGAATACGATTACGCGGAATACAATTTTCCTGTAGCAGACCATAATGCACATTTATTGTATCAGAACTGATGATTAAACCGAAGTAGATGAATTCTAATTCTGACCCCAGATTCTTTGAATTAAAGCCTAGATCTTAAGTCAATGATTCAAAATTTCACTGTGAGATCATTCAACTGCGGAGATCACGCACGCTGATTCAGCACCCACCTGATTAATACTTTATTCAAACAGACGAAGACAAACTTGGATCGATCTTTGATGGTCGTGTAAAACCCCAGCGTTAGAAATACTCAAATCACCTTTGACTTATGCTTTGCAAAAGTTTATTTGCTAAGCATGAACGTCAGTCGACTTCTCACATATCTGAGAATTATTTTAAAATTTAATCTACATGCTGAAGTCATCACTGAATGTATCATTATTCTAAGTATACTGAACTACTTATATTTTATTATTATTATTACAGAAAGTGAATAATACCAACTTTTCCTTTCTTATAGAATTCAAGAATACTATGATGAAAACTTTAATAAGAAATAAATTAAAGTGGAATTCAGGTAAACTTGAAATAAGCGCTATCAGAAGGATATGTATTTATAGGATGAATATGCATTTTAGATTCCCTATTTATAGTATTCACACTTTAGTAGATATGTGTAGGGTGGTTATAGGAGTGTACGTCAGCCAGGAATTGAATGCGAACCACTTGCGTGGTTGGCGAGTATCTTACCACTGAACCATTGAAATACAGGCTATATAACTATAACAATTTTTTTATAGTAGCGGTGATACACGGGATGAAAGTAAAATGTCTCATTCATTTGTATAATGCAGCAATGAAAGTGCCTGATATTACCTAAGTTTAACTTGTCACCTATCCAGAATACTAGAAATAAACATAGAATAAATCAAGTGTTATTTGAAAAAGTTAAGTTCACTTCATCCGAACTCCGAATCATTTTAATATTGTAGAAGATCTGAGGAAGAACAATGTGACTTTGACAACTCTAAAAAAAGAATTACAAAGCCAAACAGGTAATTTACAATGGTTATTCTTTCGTTTAATTTGGATGCTTAATTTGACACTACTGGCTTGCATTAACTAAATTTTGCTTAATGTTCTTATTATCATATCAATGTTTATACTAAGCAAAATCGCCGTTTTATAGTCTTCAAATAAACATTTCAGTTTAACCTGAAATGAAATAAATCCCAGTTAACCAACTTCTGAAATTTATTATTCTAACGGTCACAAGTAAGTAACTGCAGGATAGAATTGTCTGAGTTTCTAGGGAGAAATCGTAACAGATGGTCTAACACGTTGACTGTCCAGAAGAATATTTGTCTCGAACACAATTCATTGCTCATAATCATATCAATTTATTCACACAACATCATTATTTGCTCCTTATCCTCTTGTTGTTTACTGTAATTTTCCATATATCTGGTACAGGAGTTTCGTCATTTCTGTTGCATGTGTTTGATGTCATTTCAATCAACAGAGGTCTAGTGACTAACCTCTCACTCCACGTCATGTATTGGAGAGACACCAAATTATAGCAGACAGCAAGGGGAAGAGGAAAAATATATGTGGGGCAAATGATGAGGTCGTGTGAATACGTTGACAGGATTAGGAGCAATGAATTTTGCTTGAAACGTCATCAAGTCATTATTACTGTGTATTGTATCAAATCAACTTATGTAGTATGGAATTATAATCTACCCTAGTACCCAAATCCCACTTCTAATTTAAAAATGTTCGCCGCTGAAGAAGACTGCCAGTGACACTATATCCCAGAAATCGGTAGAATTTAGAATTTTCAGCATTCTGTCTTAGTGGCCGAGTGATCGATGAGATCTCCTAGAAACATGTAGGCCATGGATTTGATTGGGTTTGTGTGGGCTGTTGGATAAGTACTAGTAAATAGTCACGAAATAATATGAAATAGCTGTCTAGTACTGTTTGGTTTTCAATCGTCCTCGAAATGAAGTCATTTCCTGATCAAGCTTGAAATCGCTCAAATCACTGCAAATCAACACTCAAAAATATTTTGTATGTGTGTTAATATTTTTCGCCGAGAATGTGAGCACCCTGAACACTCTCTTGATAAATATTCAAGTTACTCGAGGAATAAAATGACCAGAACATTTTGTTTCTTCCCTTTCTGAAAGCTGTCAGTCTAATCGAAGGCATCAGAATTTACTGGATCACCTCAGTGACAATCTTCTCTCTCGGTGATGAATAACAGATAAACCTATTTACCGATCTGATAGTTTAATTCATGAGATAGGAATAATTCCCTAGAAAAACTTTAACAGATCTCGACAAAAGTCCACCTGTACTAAAGCTGTTCTGGAAGAAGTAATAGTAATAATAAAATTTCCACTTATTAACGTTATGTTTCCCGACTGATTGATTTATACCAAACATAAATGCTTAGTGTCTGTTGACATGTCAGCTTCTAGTACAGATGCTCCGACAAAATCATCCTGTTAATTAGCATCAACAACTACAATGTCTGTGTTCAGGATGGTTTGCCAGTTGGAACGTAACACTTATCCTAACATTGGCCTAGTGAATAACGCTTTGGCTGGGTTCAAGTCCCACCGAGAACATCGTCACTCACTGGAAAATGCAAGCATACACGTCTGATGAGCGATGAATAGGACGAAATGAGTATTGTGGATTCAACGGTTAGCCATCATCAATCAGATAACATCTCTATTTCTGTATTCCTGAATTTTGTCAAACAAAAATTATAAAATTCTTTATGAAACAATGACTCATTTGATGTTTTACCTCTTGTCGTTTACAGAAAACATCAATATTAGACTGTCGCCGGGTGGGTTGTCTGTTAATAAATGTCAGTTATAATCTACAAATTATATCACACTATAACTTGAACGTTTAGATATTGCTTGCAGAACAAAACTGATGGAAGAGCAAACTGGAGTTGAACTGATGAAAAGTATGTGCATTTCTTATATCTTGTTTTACGATCATTTGTAAAATGGCATATCCTTTAAAAACATTTTTTATTCTATTATTTATTTCGTTATACATGAATAAACAGAGAGCAATGAGGATTAGAAATGTTGAAAAACAAATTGTAGGCAACAGTGAAGTTTTAGACGTGTTTCAAACTTTTGAGTTTTTGGTTTTGTGGGTAGAATGCCCGCTAACTATGCATTCTCACCTTGGTTCGATTTCCGGACAACACACTTCTTGACCTCGCCTAGCTGACAATAAGCACAGTGGTTAGGACTCTCGCCGACCATGCACATGGTCCGGAGTTCGAGCCTAAGCCGACGCACACCTGATATCTATGGTCGGCCTGTGAAATTTGGGCTACCGATATCAATGCTGAAAATTCCACACTTGTACCAAAAATACGGTGTGGAATCAAGCTGTAATCAAAAATAAAATAAAAATAAAATAAAGCAGCGTGTAGAAGAGAGGTTGAGCGTGAAGCTAGCAACTAGCACCACTTAAAAGCAACATCAGTGCTACCGGAACTTCAATGACTATGGTCTGATGGCCTATGCTCCACGTGGAAAGCAAACTACTGTATTTCAAACTTATCATCACTTCTCCACTCAACAATTCGCTTGAAGTCTGGAAATACAAACTAGAGTAAATGATTTCCTGGCATGCAGTGAGACTATAAGCCTTTTTTCATATAAAAGCCATGCTATTCAGATTTTCGTCAAACAGGCGGGAAACAACCACGTTATCACGCTGTTTTCCCCAGCATTGATTATCTGGTAAATCATCCTAAATTCAGCAAATTATTTGATAAACACTGGATACCAGAAGCCAAACGGTACAGAAATCGAAATGATAATGTTAAGGCATTAGTCCGCATTCTCCAGAAGCAACATTTTCAAAACCATAGTAAATGCACTATTTCCATATGGATTCGAGCTAGAGTTTTACATAGCGGCGGAGTCTCCTTATGAGATTTTCTGAGGTGATGGGCACCCTGTTTGACAGATACATAAAAGTAAGATCTATAGTATACATGATTTGATTTCAGTGGATTCTCTACATGTCAAAATAAATCGACGTGAAATGGAGTTTTGTGTCAATTAGTCATTCAGTGAGCCGAAAAATATTATTTTAAACTTCACTGAGATTAAGTAAATCGACAATATCATGAGAAATCCATATATACACTTTGATACTATACTCATGAATAAGAGATATGAACACGTTCAAGAGAAAGAAATATACCCGTAAGCCAATTTCATCGGTAATCAAGGTGTCGCTTTAACTGACCACTTTTACTAAACGCAAAGGTGACAGTGTTTTCATCTTTATGTAACAATCATTACTAATTCTTCACATGTGCTTAAATCACTTAAAAGAAAATGATCGCATTTCTCTTTTTCAGTAATGCCGAATTACTTATCATAAATATTTGTTTCAACTTGTCAGGTATGGTGGAAAATATTCGGAATGAAGAGAATTTCGGTAAGCTGAAATGTCTACTTCTGTGCTCTAATTCTCTTTCACTTTCGAAATGGCAGCCATCTTTCTTAGCTGGAGATTGAGGACAAAGATCTTTTTATCCTGGATGTCAAGACTTTTGATGTTTATCACATGATAGTGTGACTGTAATTCGAAAGAAATGCTTATTCCTTCTGAGATTAAAACTTGCCTTACTTAATGATTTAGTCAGCCACAACTAGGAACAATTTATGTGCATAGTTAGCATTTGAAAACTTCTTAGTGAAACTCTAATATCTGAGATTTTGTAAACATCCTCCTTTTTATTTACATCTTGCAGGATTTCAAACCGTTGACTTAATGAATATGAAGCAGTGCTTTCAAAATAAAAAAAAGAAATATGAAGGTGACTATAGACTTTTGTGCAAACACTTTTAACTCACTGTCGCACAATTATTCCGGTTGGTTGTTTCACCGTTAAGATAAGTCATCATCAAACACACAGCTGCTTTCCTACAGCTCAAGTGCATCTTTATTTATTTAAAATTTAAAGTAATTCAATGAGTTGAGTAATGACAATAACAAGACCAAGTTACTTATATCACGTCAGTCGTTAAATGGGAGAGTGCTCAGCTGCCAAGTTGGGGGCTCAATTTCAGTTCCTGGGCAACGCATGCATAAGCCTTGCTTATTTTACTTTCCGTTAGTGAGTCTGGAAAAGGAGAGAATTTGTGCTTGAGGCTAGCGACCTTATTATTATTGTTCCCTTGGGTTCCTACAGGGAACTTAGGGCTTCAACTGCACGTCTCCATTTGCTTCTGTCTTCTGCTGTACTTTTCACCTGTATCCATGTTAGTCCATACTCTTTCAACTCCTCTTCACACGATCTCCTCCATGTCACCCTTGCACCGACGTCCCACACGTCGCTTCCCTTTCGGGTTCCACTCGAGCAATGGCCTGACGCACGCGCGATGTCACCCAGCGGCCTCCTTAGTGAGTGTCCGATCCACCTCCACTTTCTCCTGCATATTTGTTGGGCGATTGGTTCTTGCATTGTTTGTTCCCATAGTTCCTTATTGGTGATTCTTTCCGGCCATCTGATCTTCAGTATAGAGCGAAGACAGTTGTTATAAAGGTCTGCAACAGGCTGTTGGAAATACTCTTTGTGACCCGCACCCCAAGTTTCTGATCCGTATAGAAGAACTGACTGACTTGACGTTTGCATGGAAAATCCGACTGAATTTTGTTGTTGATGCTGAGTGACGAAGATTTCCAGATTGATTTCAGGTTGATGAATGTGTTTCTCGCCTTCCCGATTCTCGCTCGATTTGACATCCTCGTCCGCTCCTCCTGTAGTTGAGACAATGCTCAATGCTAGATAAGTGAATTAAGTCACCTCTTTCAAATCCCTCCCGTTGATGGTGATTGACGGTGGATGTTGCTGCGGTTGTTGTTCGTTGGTTATTTTCATAACCTCCGTCTTGTGTATGTTCATCTGGAGTCCTGTCTTCGCCGGCTGCTTCTTCGACCAGTTTGTCGTTCGATTTTCGCTTGTAAGTCTTCGATTTTGTGTGACATCAAACATAAATCATCCTTGCGCAAAATCCAGGTCTTCTAGATTCTTCACGTCTGTCTGTCCAGGATATCCCTGTCTGCTAGTTTCCCACCCACTGTCTGAGGCATAATCCAGTCCAGAACAATTAGGAATATCATTAATCGGTAATAATAAGCACCCTTGTCTGACTCTTGTGTGTTTACTCCAAACGCCTCGCTGAGTTTTCCGTTGTGGGTCACTTGACATGTGCCGTTGTCGTACAGCTGTTGAACAAGGTTGATGAATATTTCGGGTACACCGTAGTACTTGAGTAGTTTCCAAATTACTTCGCGGTCAACGCTGTCAAAGGCCTTCTCAAAGTCTATGAAGTTGAGGTAGAGGTTTGATTGCCATTCCATGCTTTGTTCTGTGATGATGATGCGTAGAGTTGCAATTTGGTCAGTACATCATTTACCTTTCTTTAATCGAGCTTGTGAGTCCTTTGTTTTCTTCAGGATGGTTCGACCTAGGATTTTTTTTGGCGTCGACAGGGGCATGATTCTTCGCCAGTTCTTGCAGATTCCCAAGTTGCCCTTCTTTGGTAGTTTCACGAGGTAACCTTTCCTCCAGTCAGTAGGCGCCATTCCCTCCTTCCAGACCTTTTGCAATAATGGAGTCAGCATGTCGTCTCTGGATCCGCTTTTAGTGCTTCAGGGGGCTATTCCATCTGGTCCAGCTGCTTTTACAGCTTTGAGAAGCTTGATTGCATTCAAGACTTCAGCTCTCGTTGGAGGATTGGTGTCAACTTGCAGTTGTGCGCGCGCTGTTGTTGGTATTTCCGGACGGGTTGTGGACTGGCTAGCGACCACAACATGTAAAAACAATACAATCGCTACTGAAACATCAAAGCATTAGCCCAGGTTTTCAGTTCATCATTCAATTGATATCATTCTTAATCGATTATATTTTCACTATGAATTTATTTCTTGCCTCATAAAAAAAAGAAATGACCAAAAGTTCTGGATGGAAAATTTGCTCGCCTTTTCACCCGAAAGCCCTCGATGTGGGTATGTCATTGAAAATTGTTTTCATCATTATATATGTCATGTGGATTGAGGCCAGAATCAAACAGCTTTGTACTAAGAATTGGATAATGCGTTTTGATGAATAAAAAATGCTGATACTTGTCAGTCATGGTAAATAATACAGCAGTAGTGTAGGACACCCCTTATCTCTAATCATCAGTGATACAAATCTAACTAAGTAAAGTCGCCCTTTTGTTTTGCTCGCTCAGCATCGATACATTTAAAGGCGACACGAATGAGGATGCCAAAGATGGTGGGGATCGGGAAGGCAGGACAGATTATCATTCCTTCGAAATCAGTTCAAAGGTGTGGAGCACACAGAACATCGAACCGAGAAAACAGCCTCAACTAAAATCAACGCTAATGGAATTTTAAAACTCAAGTTTGTAGGTGTTTGTTCCACTGTGAATGTTAAGGAATGAAATTAATAATAATAATAAAAGTGTTTGTAATGATAGTTCGGTGTAAACTGGTTAGATTTCGGAGCGCTGTCATAAATTAAGTAAGAAAAGTAATCTTTAATCTCACTGTGACTATCTATTTCACATGTTCTGATATTCAAATTGACAACTCTTCCATGTGACACTTTATTAGTAAGATGTTGTCATCATGGCCTTTGATGACTTCCTTTATAAGGAAATGAAGCTTTACGTGTGACTAAATTTATAGAAAGGTTTCTGCTTCTCCAAGTATTATTATGATTTTATTGAGTAAAATCACATACTTCAACGTGACTGGTACCAAATGAGAAATCTTATTTCAGTTGAAGAGAAAAATGACATCTTATGAAGATCCTTTAACGTCTTCAATTATTATTTCTTTGGATTTTGAGTGGAACAAAGTGCTTCAGTGCTTCGCACATCTCTATTTCTTTTTGGCTGACTGCACTCTTTTTCTTTCTACAAATTTGTGACGTGATAATTTCTCAGTTGGCTTTATCCTAGAATTCTTTATAGCATATGCTTTCTGGCCGAACATCCGACGTTCAGTACAGAGCGCATGTAGCTGTTGATAAAAGTCTGCAGCCAGTGTGACAGTTTAGTTTATCATACAAGTCAGTTTTACTTGAATAAAACTTTTAACTAACTTTTTGACAGAAATTTTTGAATTGATCAATAAGATGAACAGATTCTACCGAGAAATCTCAACACAAACCAAAACTCTATGTAAGTAAGAAAGACATACAAAAAGAGGTTTTAGAGTATGGTATGACATGACATTCAGATATTATGCTTTATACTACAAATCCTGAATAAATCATGTTAACGATCAACTATTATTCCTAAATACTATCATTTAAATTAGAAATGTATGTATCTATTTCAAAGTAATTTTATCTATGAGCTGAAATGGGATGAAGAGCAGATAGAAAAATGTTCCTTTTGAGTTTGAAACTTATCAAACTCATGATAATTAGCTCTGAAGCTGGGACATTGAAACCCTTAGCTTATGATCTTCAACGTCAGTTGATGTATGGTAAGGAATGACTATTGCAAATCATTCGCGGATGAAATTGGAACGTCGCATATCGCTGTAGAACAGAGCATAGAATGTCAGTCAAATCTCATCTCAGCTTCATTGAATTTGAATAGACCTTAAATAGCGTTGACGGTGAAGTGAGGTGAAAAGTGCTTCAATACAATGAAGTGCTCCAAACCTCCGTTAACCTACTTCAACAGTTATGTGACGATTGAACATGTCAAGTGATGCAAAGGCTGGAGCTAAGTGAGGCCTTCAAAGTGAAGACTTGAGAAAGGCAAGCCTGAGAAGAACACGGATTAAAATCACACTCAAATCCATCGCCCAAGTGAAATTTTGAATGAGAAGAGACGATTTTGATGTTTGACTTTAACATGGAGGAGACAAGATCTCATGGGTAATCGTGGAACCAGCTAAATAGTAACCCATTGGCGGGTAATAATAACAAATTTCAGAATGTTGAAAAAGTCAGGTGTGAGGGCATTTTCATTGTGCCAGTGGTCTTTCCTAAAATTGTATCTACTGTTTAATCGAAGAACTCCTGATGTCATTTGTCATGACCGGTAATTCTCCTTTTTCTCCTTTCTTACAGTTCAACAGAAGTTATACATGCACAGATCAAATGAACTGGATAAGCTGATATCCAAAGGTGAGTGGTATAAAGAGAATTAAACTGAGATGAATAATTTGGGAATGTCACCTTATCCTATTTCTTACTTGAAGCGAGAATGATTAGAGCCAACAATTGTGCTTTCATTAAATTCTTCTTCAGTCTCTACAATTATAAGTCCATTGATTTTAACATATACTAGTCAGTCAAAGTGACTTGGAAATAGGTCAGTAACTGTACTGTGCCACAAGTACAAGAAGAAATAATAGTCATTTAGTTTAGATTACCATTTCGAAGGCATATAAAACATGTCTAGTGAATAAGAAAGAACATGAGATAAAATGCAATGAAATAATTCAGTGGTGCGTCTGCATAATCGTGATCAACAAAGTACCAGTTTGTAGGGGTGGTGTGAGAAGCAGTACGGATACTGCAGAAAAATGAACGAACAAACAAAATGCAGTGAGCCAGGTATAAGTTCAATGGATGGCAAATAACGGTAATAATGATAAATTAAATAGGCATGGTATGGTGTAAACACAGGAGTATTATCAGTGACTGATTATTTAATAGAGTGGAGAGATAGCGTATTACGTGAATACCACAACACATGTGAAGGGTATTATGGAAACACAGGAGTTAGTTTTTGAAACTGTCAAGGATATGAAATAAGAGGTTGCAAGGGAAACCAACGGGAAGAGGAAAACAGTATGATAGGGACTTAATATGATACCTGTCAATGTTTGTAGAAGACTTCTTGACGTCATTATAAGCCAGTGGTACACAAAGTGGTCAGATCTACCTCTTCTGGATACAGTAATCGGTTCTTCTAGTATTGACTGCCATAGCTCCAGCTACTGATAGGAGACACCACTGAATACGCCTGAATAGATTCTTGTAAACGTGATAGTTCCGGTTAAACTATATGTTCAATAACCGTAGAGCTTGAAGAATAATTTATTCAATTCTGGCTGGTGTTGACATCGTCATCCCTGCCGCCTGCCTGCAGTTGAAACGATGCATCCTAGACGAGTGAAGGAAGGAAGTGACCTCTCTCAAATTCATTCTGTTGATAGAGATTAGTGTTGGTTGATGTTATTATTGCTGTTTACTGGTGATGGTGATGGTGTTTATGCTGGTCGTGGTGGTGGTTGTGATTGGTAATCTTCATCACCTCCAGCTTCTATATTATTATATTATTATTGTATCCTTTAGTTCCTAGAGGAACATAGGGCTTCAGCTGCGCACCTCCATTGACTTCGGTTTTCTGACAACTTTTTCAACCTGCTCCAGGTCTGTCCACATGCTTTCATCTCCTCCTCGCATGACCTCTTCCAGCTTCTATATGTTCACTTGAAATCCTGTCCATTGAACACAACAACAGCTAACTTCGATTATCCTCATTCTGAATAGATTATGAGCAACAACTTTGATTCTACTTGTTCACGTAAACATCATCACAGTTAAAACAGTGTCCACTCTGATATTTGAATTTCATGTAACCACAAACTGTTATATTTAATAATATAAAATAAATCACTTCATAAATTCATGCACCTGTTCAACAGCACTCACTCAGTCAGTCAGTCAGAGTGAAACGTATTGCATGTTGAATTGATGAAAAGTTGTCCACCGAGCACAAATGCTTCATCCGTTATCTCTTTGGAAAAAAACAGAGTTCATTAATTAATCAGGTGAACCGCTACTTTCAATTGTCAATTTTCAAAATTACGTTTTCACTACTATTTGCATTTGTTCCATCTATATTTCTAAAATGAATATGTGTGTCTACTTATTTTTACAGAATAACTGAACCACCTGGAACTTATTATTTCTTCTTATCACCCAATGACTTTTCGCAAGAAACAGTGCTGAGTGACAAGTTCTTACCTTGGAAATAAACACTTTCATTGACTTTTATTATTATTATTATTAATACTGATGTTAATTTCACTGAAACTATTCCATTCTTGATAAATGATGCTGTCGTCATTCACTGTGTAATAATTAACATTTGAAACATGAAAGTTTGAATTCAAAATAACGAAAGCAAGCAATTTTAAATTGTTGCTACTTTTGCTATTGATTTCTGAGTGGGAGGTGTGAGTTCAGAGGCACACATCTCCATCCCATCCATCTCAACTGGCTCAACCAACTCCTCGCTCACATACTTTCACTTCCGAGTCATGAGATCTCCTCCATATCACTCTCACAGAAGCCGCGTTTCTTTACATTTGGTATCCAGCCGACGGCCGACTGGTGTGTGATGTCGCTTGAGTCTTTCATTAGTGTATATCTGATATTTTTGAATTACCAGTCGCATAGATTATTGGCCAGAATGTTGTCGGTTGGTAAACTGCACGGAGTGTCTTTCCTTGTTTCACAATAATCCCTGGCTAGCCGCCTCACCGTAAATATCGAGGCAGCGAAGTGGGAAGATGCTGATGAATGTGTGCGGTAGCCAGTCAAAAAGGCTGCGTTTTCTGAATGCATCCTAACGGTGGAATCTGTATGAGCAAAATTACAGTTTGTGAATCTGCTGGAGTGACTCTGGAAACAAACGGATTGAAAATGTGTTGAGCAGTTTGCCATTTTCGGTGACTTTCGGTGGCCACTTTATGTAAATGACGGGTGAATTTTGTAGGGGGTGAATAAATGATCGCTAGCAAACACTGAAGTTTATTTGGTTTACTGTGCATTCTCTATTTTTCCTCCGGTAACGTCAACGTCTCTTCACTCTTGATAGTTCCAAGAAACAGATCAAGGTCGATCTCAGTCTAGATTTGTTCACAAACCAATGTGATATAGACAATCAACCAACGTCACATTCTGAACAATACTGCACACCATAATTTCTCTCACCGTTGGATAGGAAAATATTACACATGAAATAGAGGAGTACTCAGCGTAAGCTAGAACATATTATATCATCATCGTTGTACAAGTAAAGAAATCTGATATCTCAAAGGGCTCTATATTCACGCTGACACAGAATAAGATGATTTTAATAATTAATTAAACAATTTGAAGCGGGAGAGATCAAAGGCATATCTTGGCATTTGAAACCAACATTCCACTGAAAAGAGTGTTCCAGTTGACATATACAGGAGAATATGGTAAACAAAGATAAGCAGAGGTTAAACAGAATATGCGGTGACAGAATGTGGACTACTTACTTACAATAAATTCAGATATCTGAAAAGAAAATATTGATCACACTGAAATACGAAGCCAGATAGACACGTTTCATGCTGACTGACTTCTGAGTGAAATCAGTCACTTATTTGTTATATACCCCAATTCTAGTATACTTGTTAGAGGAGCTTAATTCCGTGTTAGTATGAACATCTATAATGAATATTTCAATTGGTTTTACGTATTTTGAATAATGCGGGATGCAGAATGGTATTGGATCGAGATGCAATTTGGTGAGAAATGTCTACTCCTTCAACGATTCTGTTGTAATTATGTGTAATAGTAGTATTAGTATTTCGAGATGACTGAATTAAAGGAATTAAACCAAAACACAGAGAGGGATGAATTTAGGGATATTTATTTAGCGGAATTCGAATTCAATTCATGTAAGAAATATTAACAATCAACAGTAAGTATTTAAACAATACAGAGATAGAAATTGTCAATCACCACATCCGCCACACATCGAATGTCTCCTTGCGTATTTATACTGATATCGCGGTTTGCTTGCCAGTCTCTGCGATCTTCTAACTGATTCTGTGATATTATTTCCATCAGTATCATCTAGACTTATTTCTGAATTATCTACAAAGTCAGGATTAGTAGCGGAGTCATTATAATCATAATCGGAACGACCTACCTCATTTATTCTCACTTGATCCAAGTGTCTGTTATGAACTGAATTATCTTCGATGTCTAATATCTTCACCATTCGATTTCCCATTCTTTGTAGTATGATACCAATAGAAGGTCTATAATCATTCCCTCTGTAATAATGTACATCAGAAGTCGTGGACATCAGATGCTTTCTGAGAATTCGAGATTTGAATAGTTTTGCAGGACTTTCATGAGTACTTGTATGCTCCGCATTGCGATATTGAAGTAAGAAGTTATCCACACATCTCTCTAGCTCATCAAATTTTGAGGACTCATTGATGCTATAGCACTCTTTAATGTTCGTACAAAATTTTCTGCCAACCCGTTTGACTGAGGATGACGTGGTGCTGTGTACAAATGACGACAACCTATATGTTTGAGCCAATCATTGAAGTTCTTCTCCGTAAAATGAGTACCATTGTCAGTAACTAAGACATCTGGAATTCCTTCTCGACTAAAAATCTTTCTCAACGCTCTGTGAGTGAATTTGGCATTAGGACTATCTGTAATGATGACTTCTGGCCATCTAGAATAAGAATCCACAATAACTAAAGCATAATATGAATTTAAGAATGGACCACAGTAATCTGCATGAATACGCTGCCAAACCTCACAAGATGCAGGCCACGGTGTCCACGATGACTTCCCATAGGACATTTTATGTAAACAGCTAGAACAGCTCTTTGATCTTTTGTTAATGTCAGCATCAATTTCCGGCCACCAGCATGTTAGGCGTGCTAATGATTTCATCTTATCAGCTCCTAGATGAGCAGAATGTAGATCATCCAAAATCGCAGATCTTAATGTTGGAGGAATAATAATTCTGTCATTCAGACATAGAAATCCTTCAGGATGGACTGAAATCTCATCTCTTCGCTTATAAAAGTCTGGAAATCTTCGCTTACACTGAACATTCCAACCTCTTTTTGTTGCATTTATAACGCATCCGTAATATTTCCGAGTATCATTTATAAGTCGAACTCGATCCACCGGTAACGGCTGGACTAATAAGCAATCAGTATCATTAGCAGCATTTTCAAATAATGAATAACGAGATAAGAAGTCTGCATGAGGTATATCCTTTGCCGATCTATGTTCAATAGTGTAATCATATGCACTTAGTTCTAAACTCCATCTTTGAACCATAGCAGCAGATGATTTATTCAAAGATTTTTCTGGATTGTAAATGAATTTCAAAGCTTGATGATCAGTAACTATGTGAAACTTAGTACCAAAGAGATACTTGTGCAAGCGTCTTATTGCCCATACAACTGCTAGAGCTTCTTTCTGGGTTTGTGAGTACCCTTGTTCACTCTTACTTAGACGTCTTGAAATACAAATAACAGGTTGTCCATTTTGCTCAAGTACTGCAGCTATACCCATAGGAGAAGCATCTGTAGTGAGAACAGACTTATCTTTCGACAAAAAAGGTCTTAGGAAAGCTTGTTTATTAAGAAACTCCAAAGTTTTTCGCAAGATATTCTCATGTTGTTGTTCCCACTTAAACTGTTTACTGGAGACAATCTCAAAAAGTGGAGATAACCGTTGAGTGAAGTTGGGAATGAATCTGGAGTAAAACTGAAGAGTACCTATCCATGATCTCAACGATGACATATTATTAGGTGACGGTGCTTGAATTAGAGGTGCCAAACGACTAGCATCAGGTCTGAAACCTTCGGAGTCTACTGTGTATCCCAAGCATGATACAGACGACAAAGTGAAATGACATTTAGATGGATTAACAAGAACATTATTCTCACATAAACGCCTGAACAGTTTTAAAAGACGTTCATTATGCAATTCGATATTAGGACCATGAACTATAATGTCGTCTTGGTATGACTCAACACCATCTAATCCATCTATCATCTGATTTATTACATTTTGAAATATTGCGGGTGAAACCTTTAAACCAAAAGGCAAGAACTTATACTTGAACAATCCAAATGGAGTATTAATGGTTGTTAATGCACTAGACGCCTCATCAAGAGGAATTTGCAAATAGGCATCTTTTAGATCTATTTTGGAAAAGTATCTTGAGCCATGTAGCTTGTAGAGAATGTCTTCAGTTTCTAGAGTAGTGCAACTTTGCTGTAGTAGACGACTATTGAGTGTAAGGCGGTAGTCACCACAAATTCTAGGTTTTTTTCCATCAGCCTTTAGTGGCGTAACAATAGGAGTAGCCCAATTTGAAGACTCAACTGGCATAAGTATGCCTTGCTCAACCAACTTGTCTAACTCTTTCTTAACTGCATCTCGCAATCCATATGGAATTAATCGGCGTTTCAGGAAGATAGGATCACCCTCTATTTCAAGATGGATGGGCTGAATCTTCATACCACCTACACTCTTTGAACATTGGAGAAGTAATTGTCTGAACAAAGATTCATCAAACAACTCAGTACAAAGTGAGATTTCGACATTTAACAATCTAAGGGCTTTTAATCCCAATAAAGATGGACCATATTCACTAACAAGAAAGGGAATATTTACAAAATTACCACTGTCTGATTTCAAAGAAATGTTAGTAGCACCGATAAAGGTAATTTATGACCAGTTATGCCTGTAATTGAACTAGTAGTAGGGTCTATCTGGACATTCTTACAAATCGATTGTAAATCCTTCTTAGAAATTATAGATTCAGTACTCCCAGTATCAATTATAAAACAATGGGACTTGCCTGAACTTGTAGTGAAGGTTCTCATTAGATGAGATTGAGTATTGGGAAAAGTTGAAAGAGACATCGACTGCATTTTACCAGGTAAATTGGAAGAATCACGAGGATTCTGAGTAACATAAGTATTAGAACTTCTGCAAACAGACTTGATGTGTCCAACTTTACCACATTTATGACACTTAGCACCACAAAAACAGCAAGTGCTTCGTTGATGAATCTTCCCATAAGAAAAACACGGTTTGATGTTTTCTCTCTCTCGCTGCATTCCATTACATGTGGACGATAGATTCGATTTCTTTCTATGAACACTTGTATTATCGACTTTAGAAAGCATGACATCAGGCACTGACGTAGTGGGAGCAGAGTATTCACTGTTGACATCTTCATATGTAATACATTAATCCTTAGCAGTTTGAAAGCTGCAGGAAGGAATCTGAATTAACTCTTTCTCCAGCTTAGGAATACTGACTCGACCAATTAGACGATCACGTAGTTGAGTATGCAGCTGATCTCCAA